AATATCTATTACTAATATAAGAATAAAAAATAAACATAATAATACCTTATAACAAATAATAATATTAAAAATTTACAAATATTTTACGACATAAAAACATAAAAAAAATTGATAACTTTTACTTTTTGTTTCTTAAACAAAAACTTAATACAATTACTTAAATGTCATATATGAAAGATTATAAACTAAATAATAGTTAGTAAAGCTTAAGTGGGTGGCATTGGCATTACATCACACAGTGATTAAACGAGTGTTTTCTAACACTGTTCGCCTTTAATGCCGTTGATCAAATAGTCGATGCTAAAGTTTTTCACTTGCACTGGAACTGGCGCCGGGGCAGAGCTCACTGTGGATTGCTCATGCTTGACCAGCTGATTGAGATGATTGAAGTAGGCCGTGGCACGCATACTCTGCTCAACAATCTTCAGGTGCTGCAGCGTGAACTCTTTGTACTGCTCCTCGATGGCCAGGTGTTCGAGTTTCTTGACGCGCCGACTCATGCGACAGGCGATGGTGTTCTTATTGCGTCGATCCTGATCCTTGGGCGAGCGCTCTTTCTTCGGAAACTTTCGCACCATATTGCCGTGGTATTTGCAAATATCTCGCAGCGCCTCCGGACTGATGGAGGGCGGCAGCGAGTGCGAGGATGATGCAGATTCCGAGCCGTTCGAGCCATCGTATACGGTGCTGTTGAGCCGACGACGCTTGGGCAGGGACATCAAGCTGGAGCACTGGCTGCTTGTGTCCTCCTCCTCATCCGAGAATCTGTTGCAGCCCGCTGTATCGAGGCGTGCCAGCAGCTCCTCCTTGATTTGCAGCTCCAGCTCGTCGTTACGTGGACGCCGCAGATCGAACTTCTTGTGGCGATAGCTAAGCGGATTGTTGCCTTGCATTGTCAGAGCCATTTCTCCAGATGATAATGCTGGTGATGATAATGATGATGATGATGTGTGATTGGTCTGCCGTCGTCTCGCTGACTGTTGTCCTGGACCGATGCGCGTCAAGCTTATATATGAGAGATTGCTGACTCGCGGCTCTTATCAATTCGCCGGCTCTAATCCGCATTTTATGATGTTGTTTACACAAACTGCAAAAGGGAAATCTATTTTTGCAAAACACAAACAAGGCCATAAAATCAGCTGATGACCTGCGCACTGCGCACGGCGTGCTGCCTCCTGCCTCCAGTGTCCTGCATCCTGCTTTCGCGCATGCGCCGCAGCCCTTAAGCGTACCCCTGAGCCCTACCTACCCCGCTGATAAGCCTTTTGTGCGTGCGTGTTTGTACTTGCGTGCTCGAGTGTGGCCAGGCCTAGTTAATGAGCTGGCTTTGGGTATTCATGAACTCATCTGGCTATCGGCTGAAGACAGATTTCCGTGTACGCGTGTGCGTGTGCGTGTGTGTGTGTGCCTGTGTTTGCCCAGCTCCCTAGGTGGCAAAATGCGCGCCTTTTGTTTGGCTTTCATTCAATTTGCGTTTGTTCCGCAGCCAGATAATTTCTTTTCTATTCTTATGCTCGCTCGTTGCCATTGTCGCAGCTTTTGTCAATAGACGGAGGAGGCTGTGCCATGTGTTTTCTTTTCAATTCCATTCGAATTGTTCAATTTTCGGTTTTGCTCGAGACATTTGCGGCTCATTTGTCTCGTCACAAAACACTCTCAGTGTGTGCGTGTGTGTGTGTGTGTGTGTATTGATAAGATATTGTCGAACTGGTTTTTGTTTTTCTTTTTATTTATTTTTTGTTTTTCCTAAAATCTCAAATTTCCTGGAATTGGCATTACTGGTGCATCATGCTGCTGATTACGATAAGACGCAGAGTTTGCAGTGAGCTGAGCTCTTGTCTTTCACTGACTTTTGATCGGATTGCAAAAGGCAGACACGGAGTTTGGGCATTCATTACGCCAGCTGATAAGAGGTATTGGGTTTGGGCTTGGGTTTCAAAGCCGAAACCCAGAATAGTTCAACTGTGCTGATGATAAGCGATTGAAAATGGTGCAGAGACCGAGGCATAAAAAAAAAACTGGATGCGCCCTTGAAATTCAGATAAGCCAAAACTGATTTAAGTGAAAAGCGATATACAACAAATTGAATAAATATTAAATGTGATGTATATATAAGCTAATCAATTATACTGTGATCAGGCTTTCATCAATTTTGCAATTTTGCGCCTATTTAAGAAATCCCCTATCACCTTTGCCTTGTTTGTAATTTTACTAAATGTAATATTCATAAACAGATATCTAAAGTTACAAAGTCAAGTATGGGTAATTCCAACAGGTCAACTAAATATCACGTGGCTATCGAGCAAGATCCATTTTGGGCTGCTGGAAGCTTGATCTCGTTCATGACTTTTAGCTAATATTCTAATTATCTAATTAACTCACTGCAACTCATGAGTTCTCTCAAGAGATCGAACTTAATACGCCTCTGCTCAGCGAGTTTGTTGTTGACTAAAGTTGAATTCAATTACTGCGAATGTGCAGAGTCACTCAATCAGATTTAAAGCAAACAATTCGCTATGGTTTGTCTACTTGGCCGCACTATGCAACAAGATCTATGCCAAAAATAAATTATTTATAATTAGAAATACAAGCAGTCAGTTTCCCATATTAACTTGAAATTATTCTTTGTATTAATGTAATTTGGAAGCAATCGAGGCGCGCTAGTTGGGCTGACCTGAACATACCCTGTACAGTTTTAGGACTAAGAACTTAGGCCTCAATATAATCTATTATTTATATTTGATTTCTGATTTCATTAGATGGCTGAGATTTGATCTTGCTTAGCTAATCTGTAGATTCATTCACATTGGGTTTTTAAATAATTTTCTCAATTTATTTTACACGACATTTGGATTAAAGATATTACAATTTATTATTCGCCAGTTTTTTGCTCTTCCTACAAACACATGCCACGTTGCATAGTGTAAACAACAATTAATCAATGCAAAATATGAAAAGGCTTTCATTTTTCACAGAGATTGCATTTATGCAAATGCAAATGAAAATGATTTGAATCTCAGTTGCATCTACGCTTTAATTGAGCAGTATAAATCGTCTTGGGCATTGCAACATTTAGTTAAGTATCGGACATGTCTCGCGTAGCGTATTTCTCAACGCCTGATTGGCTTTTGAGTGTCAGCCGGGCCAGCAACAGATTCCAATAATCAGTGCGACGACGAGGAAGCATCAAACGGCTTGAAGCGCATCCAAATCGGACAGCTGCCGGTAGTTGAGCGAGCTCTGGCTGGGCACGACTTTTGTCTAGGGTATTTAATAATGTCGTTTGTATTTCGCTACCGATTTCGCTTTGGATGCCCTCTGCTCAGCGCTGTTGTCGTTGTCATTAGGCTCCGAAGCTATTTTCGTTTCACTGGCTCAATCCCCCAATCCCAATGCGCATCAACCGACCGGCTGTGGGTGCCTATTATAGCGTTGCGTTTACTCTCTATTTTCGCCATAAATACAAGCTAGCGGTCGGTCGTAGGTCTCAGATGTCGCTTCGCATTTGCATGAGCCGGGGGCGTCGCTGTTGTACTATCTAACTATCCACATCCTTAACTGACTTCAATCCCAACGAAAGTGAAATTTGCGCATCTGAAGTAAAGCAAGGAAAATACAAAAATAAAAAAAATAAAATAAAACTTAAAGAAAATGGCAAGTGTTTTAAGTGCATTTATTTTGGTGTCGTGCCTGGGCACGATTTTGGCTGCGGATGAGAGTTTTGGCTTGCCAACTATTGAGTTTAAGCCCATCACAAAATTAGGTGAGAATAACGACTAATTTTTTTTTTTAATACTCTGAGATCATTGGTAAATGGGAAATCAGGGTATAATGGTTTTGTTTAAATATATACTTAGTTTTGAATTCATAATTAATACATATATTTATTAATGATTTATAAAGCTTTTATGCATTTCAATAACATACTGATGCATATAAACAAAAACAAGTTCGTGTCCTAAGTCTTTTGATTTTTTCTTTTAATGCAAAAGAATATTAAATGGAATACACTTTAGCAGCATGAGTCAGCCAGAGAACTGTTCAAATATTATTTTAATAGAAGTTTTCTGTTTACACCTTTTTACACTATTTGTACCAAGTCAACATCTCGAAAGCAATTTAAATGCTAAGTCAACACATAATATTGCTTAAGCCCTTCAACATCCACTTTAAACTATTACCTACATACATTTCCCCGCCCTTAGTCACAATTATTTTCAGCAAAGATAGACTCGTATAACAGAATTTCTAAATTAGCGGATAAATATCAGCAATTGCAATAAAATGCTGCAACAACGCGCCGATCGTGTGAAACACGTCAAGCTGTGCGAATTTTACAACAATGCAATTTCATGCAACTGCATTAGCGTGTATTGGAGCCAATTTACTACGAACAAATTTAGCAACAGTTGGCAGTAATATTATAAACTATTTATATAAAAAGTTATCTGTTATTTTAGATAATTTAAAGAACTGTCAAACAATATTTAGTAAACAGGAATCAGTCTATACTCATACTTATGCATAATTAGAAACGAACTCAAACTAATATTTATATTTGATAATTGATAATTGATATTGTTGATATTGAAACATCAAAAACTTTGGTTTCATTTATGGAACAAAAATATATATTTAAATATTTAAAAATATTTAGTAAATATCGTTGTTTGTCGTTTACATTTAGAAAACTGTTTTGCCTACGCCACCTGTCTCTATCTAGCTCTGACTTATTGCACTTCTTCTGCAGATAAAGATTTTGCAAAGTCTAATATATGTACATATATAGTACTATCAGATAAAGTCTTGGTTTTATGGAAACATTTGATTAAATTATGTTAAAGTAGAAGAATAGTAACTCCCAATATTACAAAACAATACGGAATAAATAAAAGCTTTAGATAAGTCCGTCTTAAATTATAAAATCTCAAATACCTGGAATGTAGGGATAGGAAAACATAAATAGATTTTTGAATACCAAATTGCATCCAACTTTGCTGGCTTGTGTAATTATTCAAAATTGAAAACAAGTCTCAATCATATAATGAATGATGTTGCCTAAAAAAGGTACAGCTAATGGTCAGATATAAATGTTTTGGCAAAATAATCAAATAATTAGTATGCATAATGTGAATGTGAAGAGGGCTATAAAGAATAAGCAAATGAATATTGGAATAAAGTATATTTGGACTCTTAATATGGCCAACAATGATACTTTGTTTAACAAACACACAAAAGAACAAACAAGTAAAAGCGAAAATAGTTTATGGAATATTTCGTGTCTATATGTAACTTAAGTATTGAACTTCAGATTTATGCTAAAATTAAGTAATTAAATTAAATTTTCGGAAA